TCGGCTCGATCGGGCATCAAGGAGCATTGGGCACCTTAGACGTTTGACCGCGTCCGACGGGTGTATGATCCGATGAACAAGACACCGGCTCAGAATGGATTGCGGCTTTTGTACACCGCTCTGCTTCCTTGTGGGTCAGGCTTTGGCTAGCCAAAGGCTCCGGTTGTGGATTCCTGAAGAAAAATCATCTGTTTTGGTCTAAGCAACCTGGCACTATTTCGCCTACATGCAAATCATGGAAAGGTTTTATTTTTATTAAATATGATTGTACCATGATTTGTTTGACACACAGTTTGGTGTCAGACGTGTATGAAAAGATAAAAAATATAAAATAGAATGAATAGAATGCTGGTTTGAATTTCGACGATATTGCATCTGTCATGGTTGACACAATGCTTATAATAGTATGCGTCATTATGTGGTCGATGTAAAATCTATGAACCCAAACGATCAAGTACCCGATTCGGAGCCCAGTGATAGAACTCTTTTTATTTTCAAAAGACCCATAAAACAATTACAATCAGAAATATGGTAATACGTTAATCAATTCTGAGGAGAGATATCTGTTCCATTAGTCAGACACATTCGTTTATGATTCAAAAGTCCACTCAGTAGATATTTCATTGACCTCCTACTGTGTTTGGTGCTCGTCGAAAAACTCGTTAGTTGGTAGTTGATTACACCTTATTCTACGTGGGCAGTAGTATTTTATTCGCCAAGATAATCGTCTACTGTCTGAATGATTTTTATCGCGCCAAAAATTATTAGCCAAATTATAACTGAAGGATATGGGCTCTCTGATGCTCCCAGATTCATATTATGGGATAGGCATAAATTCGGAATAGACGGTTCTATAATTGTGTTTCCCACCCATTTTGAATTGTCAGTTCCAATTAGCAAGCATAATACAGATTTCCTCGAAAATGCGATATGGCGTATCGGAGATGAGAAAAAGCGAGGAGGAGGAGGAGAAACGATTGCTTTACTTCTATTCATGCATTGTATTATCAAATCCACACCGAGTAAAAGCTCCAATTCCATTTTTATTAAATTTGTCCATGAGTTTGGTAAGAAAAGAATCCCAAATTGAACTGATAACTTGGCGACTAATCAAACACTGACATTCACTAGACAATCTGGAGACCGTGAAAACCATTTCACTCTGAACAACATTCAAAATGGATCACATAAAGAGGGAACGTGCACGAGGAGATTCTCAAACATATCAAGAAATTTACGAAGATAAATTGGTAGGATAAAAATGAATAATAACTGGTGACAACAGTGTTATTGTCAAACGACTATTTTATGATGGACCTATGCTCTCATAGAACCCTTAAATTTGGTTGCTGGCAGTTAGTCACGCTGATTTCGATTGATATCTTTCAAGCAATGAAGAATAGAGATAGATGTAGAGAACGGAGAGCAGAAAGAGAACAAAAACACAGAAATGGGTAAATGAGAAATCACGAAAAAATTGTGTAGATACACTAGCGTGATAGTTTCAAATAGTTTAGGTTTTCAAAAGCTATTAACAAAGCATTTTCATGCACTGATTTTTGTTGCGATGTTTTGATTGTCCATTTGGATAAAAGAACAGAAAACAGACGGGAAGGCTGTGAGCAGAGTCGAAGAGGGGACAAACATATGCAGTTTGGAATTGGAAAGAAGTGAAAAAATTCATGAGCGCAACTATCTGCGACACTTAACCATAACATTCAGTGTCCCTAATCATTGGGTATCATTATCTCGAGATCCTTACACAGGGAGCCTAACAGGACCTATGTGACAGTCTCCTGGTTAGAATATTCATGCCCTTAATCGTTTTTCCGACCGCTTCCATTCTCGGAAAACATCGCGCGCCATGGTAATCTATTTGCGGACATCCGCAACACATGTCACAACCACCGCAGTCTATGGAGGTCGACCACTTGTTCCACTGGACAACTGCAATTACCTAATACTTTGCATCTAACCTCAAGGGAGGTAGATGGCCGGAGCAACCCAATCTTGTAGCAATATTTTACACTTTGAAGGTGCAAAATACATATCGAACATAATCGCTCTAGCACTCAAACTATCCAGATAAGCTTGCAACTTACCTGTATCTTCACTTAACAGCACAATTTCTTCCGCATACTTCAGATCAGTCCATCAACTGGGAGCAAATCAATTCCGCTCTCTGGTCTGAGGGTAGAGCTGTTTCAGGAATTACATCTATGACAAAGTTAAACAGAAACGGGGAGCGAAAGCACCCCTGACGAACACCACTTTCTAGTGAGCTCGGTCGAATAAGTGCCGTAAGCTTGGGCTCGGCTTCGGCTGTTAGCATAAAGAGATCTCTAAATTGAAATAAACTTCTCGGGCACACCGTTCAGATCGAGATAACACCAAAGTTTAGATGGGCCGACTGAGTCGAAAGCCGTTTTCAGATCGACGAAGATAGAAATAGGGGGTCTACGTAGGGAGTGTCTGTGCTATAGAATTAGGCGGAGGATAAAAATGTGGCCTATACAACCTCGATTGTTTGCAACACAGCCATTTAGTATTTCCGTCTGTTGACAAGACCGGTAGCCCTGCCCCTAGACCGGGAAGCGATCAAATAAGAAGGACTCATCGGGTCAACGTTTCTCAACGTTTTCCGAAGGTCATCGTCACATCAAACTTAGTTTCCGTCCGAAATCACTAGGCTGTCCGATGACGTGAGATACATAGCTCAACCATCTAAATTTATGCAGGTCAAGCACTGGAATCAGTGTGCAGACGCGATTGACTGATACTCATCGTATCACCGCAGCGAAGCAAATACGTTCGATCAACTTTGTGAGCTAAATGAAAACATGTAGACAACAACTATCTGGATGGAACTCACCGGTTTCACTCGTGTAGTGCGTGCTTTGCGGTTCCATGATTTTTGTCCACGGTTTAAAAGCAACAATCCACTGTTGTTGATTTGTTGTGTCACTAAATTGGCACTGGTCCCACGTAGAGCTGGGGCATGAGAGTGAGATGGGGTGGGAGCATGGGGCGTGAATACCTGTTGGCTAGTTGATGCTGATTGTGATGGTGGTGGTGGTGGTGCGTGCGGGATGGACTGAACAGAGACTGGACCGAGTCGAGTGCTGATTGCACTGCCTTTGGACGGATTCGGTAATGAAGGCACATTAGGAACTGATGAACCTGTACTGCCGTGAGCCATTCCCAGGGTTACTGACCCAGTGCCCAATGGTGGCAATGTGCAGCTTCCGCGGGAGGGCATATGGTCCACTGGAATAGAAGTTGCATTAGATGATCCGAAAGTGGACTGTTGTGGAGCTGTGAGGACAGTGGCGTGTTGAGATGGGTACGTTTGAGTTGGCACGGTGGTGTGCACACTGGAACCGAATGGGTTTTTGTTCCAATGTATGGAGGAATGTGACGTCATATCTAGCCCCGGAACAATATTTTCGTCCGCATGTGATGTCGTTCGGGAACCGCTAGGTGTGCGAACCCGATCCAGAGGAGCTAATCGCCCGATTGGGTGAAAACCGGCGGCTACACCGACCACACTGGGCGTGGACGAGTTAAACCCGGCAATCGAATCATTGTTTGTCTGTAACGTGGATGGAATGGATTTGCGCGATGAATTGGGGACAATTTTCGAATGTACTCCGGACAATGGACGACTGGTCACTACGGCCATTGGATACAGTGTGGACTGTGGACTGAGACGGCTGAAGTGTGACGACCAGTTGGGATTAGAAATGGGTGTATTCAACGTAGCCATCAAATCGTTTGTGCGAGCAGCGGATTCTGGCAAATCACTGACAAGAAAGAGAAATGCACATGGAAGGTAATAAATAATTCACGGTCACAGTGAAGTGAGGGTTTATAATAATAATAATAATAATAATAATCCACTTGCTTTGCTATTTGTGGAATGAGGAAAATTTGACAATGCCTGGAGGAGCATTGGTTCCGGTGTAAGGAGGATTGTGATAGCACATTCAAGCCACTGTAATGAGAAACATGATAAACAAACCCCTTGAACACCGTCAACTGCAATGAAACTCCAAATGCTTCAGTATGGTCGGGGAAGAGTGTTTCGGATTACGGCTCGTCACCCTTGCCTTTCATTTAGCGAAATGTTCCCAAACAACCATGTGCATCAAATGGCCCATTCTGTTGAGGAAACCTTACTAGCTGCCTTTTCGTGGCATAGGTATTTTGTCACCGAAGTGAGAGGACGAAAAACCAATAGCCGAGGCTATAACCGGGTCGGTGAACCACTGGCAGTTCATCTATGGAAGTGGTCGTGGTCACCGGCTCGATTGGGTGTCCAGATGTATTGGGCGCCTTGAACGTCTGACCCCGTCCAAAAGGCATATGACCCAATACATGGGGCAGCGGTCCCCAACGGATAGCGGCTTTTACACACCGCCCCTCTGCCTTGCGGGTCAGGCTTTAGTTAGCCGAAGGCTCTGATTGTGAACTTCCCAAGCAAAATTCACCTGCCTTGGTCTGGGCAACCTGGCAGTGGTCCGCCCACATGCAAATGGTCGAAGTGCTTTTTTCTTTTTATAAGGATTATTGAACCGTGGTTATCATAAATCCTTCTATCGTATTCAAATGCATTCAACTAGTGGGCACCTAACGATCTCGCAAGGAGTAAAACCCGCACCCAAAACCATGAACGATGCTTTGTGCGCGCGAAAAGTCGAATGGATTATTTCAAATCTATGACTCTTCATTCTTGAATCCATTCGCACAAGGAGACGACCGTTGACCGTGTAGCTCATGGGTAAAGAATCGGATTCCCAATCCGAATGTTCGCGGTTCGAGTCCTGACAGAATCAGAAAAGGTATGCCGTGTTGACGAGTCTGAACGGGATGAAACAGCTGTCCAATGTTTTCCTCGGTCATCACAAAACTTTCCATCGCTTATTAGTGTACCGTGATTCGTTTGGCGCGCTGTTTGAACTCAGGCTAGCATGGATATATATATATATATATATATATATATATATATATATATATTCGTCACAATAACCTATCTATATATAAACTAAGGTTTTAAATGAATTGGGAATGAGTTTTGTGTGAAAACCATATAGTAATTTTGGTAACTCAGATGTCTGATAGAAAACCGGGGAAGCATTTTAGAAATGGAGGTCTAACAGGACAGATTTGAAGTGAACCAGTGGAAAAAGCCGTGAAAGTTTGCGCCAAAATAGAGGTATCCAAATGATGTAGTGTACGATTGATTATCCCTGAACTGCCCAATTACTTTCTTTGAGAAACAAAGGTCAGTTTCTCAAACGACAATCCAGTTTTCTAATATAAGTATTATTATTGAATGTACAATGCCCCCGACAATATTGTGAGATGGGGTTATGGTTGATCTAGTGATGCTGAGGGATATACAGAATTGAGAAACATTGAGGATAGCGATGGGGATTGTGCTTAATCGTGATTGTATCCACCGAGAGAACTTACTCACTCTGCGGACAAAATTTGTCTGGTTATCCCGTTACTCAATCGGAAAGTGAGCGATTCACGATGGGAATAAATCAACTCATGAGGAAAAGAAAGAGGATAGATGTGGAAATGTACGAATATTACACACTTGATTTCCTCGGATGTTCACGCGAAACAACAGCAAATGTACAGGACGAAGTAATCTCGCAACAGCCCAGTGTGTTCAACAAATCACAGTATTTTCAGGAAGCCAAATTGACCCGAGTGTTCAAAGTTACATCACGCAATTGCTATCGAGAGCTTTTGGACTGTAGAGTTTTAGATTGGTCAACCATTAACCATGCATTATAGTGCGTCGGTTTTGGTTATTGTCTTTTGGTGTCCCATTTGGATGAAGAAGAGTAGAAAGACAGGAAAAGTTGAAAGTAGGATCAAAGGGAAAATTTAGAATTTCATCGCACCAATGTTGCAGAGAAATTGACAAGATGCACGAACTCCACTGTTTATGACACTTAGCCATACCACCCGGCTGCCTAACATTCGTGCAATGCTGCGTAGATAGCGATGTTCAAACACCCAACTGTAGAAGCCAAAATGAGCACCACATTTGTATATACCAGTCCTGCCTGTGTGCACATGGGAATGACCGACTCATTTAACAATTGCTTTTCAATTCTTGGATTACCACCGTCTCCCTACCATGGATTGTGAAAAGTAACTTTTGTATTGACCAAACCGAGACACTGCCCTAATCTTCAAATTCCGTCTGATAATCCCATCTAAGATATTCAAAACACCTTAGGTGATTCGACGTTGTATCTCAATTTGTCTGAGTTGTGTGACATCTGTGGAGCGCTTGTACAAATGAATTTATTGAAATGTACATTACTGCAGTTTGGTGATTGCGTAGTTTCGTTCGGGCAATGCTTATTTTTTTTCAGTGATCCGTGGATTGAAAAGGAATTCTGATTGATATTTGCCAAATCAGAAACACCCACACTTTGTATATCTAAGGCCTGATGAGCACCCAGTTCCTCTGTCACTGCCCCAAGCTACCGTCAAAGGACAGATAGTAAACTGAGCTCGTTTCTCAACAACTGTTTTGTTACTGAATTGAACGAAGAAGATGCTCCGGGAGCCAATCCGATATGTGCCTCTATCGAATATTACCCTCTTGGAGTTTGGTATTAATTTGGTTATTTTTAATTAATATTTTTCAAAGCGGAATGGACAAAAACGCACTAATGGCAACAAAGCCAATCGGTTTAATGGAAAAAAATACAATGCTGAAATAAAACTTCCAACGTATGGAAAAATAAGAGTGTAAGATATTTTGTGAACTTGAATTTTCATCGCATCTCTGCTGTGATAATCTGTCATAGAACTTTCAGAATTGCTGTTTTATCGAATGGAGAATGGAAAGAAAGTCAACAGTAGAGCAGTAGTTGCCAATAAATAAACATAAAAGCGAATAGGAAAAAAATTGGAACTTGACATTAAATTTGTACTTTAGGAACAGCGGTTCCTGCGATAGCCCTGAGAATCTACAGAGTTGCTTATTTTCACTGATATCACGTGACCTGTTTGGAAAAGTCACCCTTGGGAGAAATCAGCTATTACTGTGACTGTGACCACTGATCGGTTGTCATGACAGTGACGATGACCAAGGTGATTTGACAATCACGAACCCAACATGGTTGTACCCTTAATTAGAAGCTGCAGGCACAGGTTTTACGCTGAACTGAAATGACCGTAACAAGCTTAACTCATGCCCGCGGCTAAATCATGCACGCTACATGTCTTACACGATCTGTCAGTTTCCGTATGGACGTGGTGCCACTGGTGTAGCTGGAACAGAAAAAAATCAATTATGTAATCCAATTTCAAGACGGGATTGTTATATTTGGATCAACAGAGCCGATTGTTGAAAGTTCAGGAAATAGAAGAAACCGACTGAACTGTGAAAGAAATTGACAATGAAAGAGTTTCAAAAGAAAAGACCATATGACAACACTGCACGATTTATGTCCAGGACGACTTCGCTGCATCTTAACATGGTGTATACCGCAGAAAAAACAATGCTTGTACAGAGCTTTAGCATAGCAACAAAGTAAAGCAAAATACATTAAAAACAGACAAAACATAAAAGAGGGAGGGGTAAAAGGACCCATAACACCAGGGTAGGGGGAGACTAACAAAGTTATTTTTGTTGACACAGGGTGGGGGGGTCTTCCATCGATTAATCGCAATTGCTCCAGCAAACCTTAGCAATCTTGCGAATTGTGACTTGTAGACAATTCGAAACACTTTTCCTCGGTCGAACTGATGTTGCGTCATCAGCAGATGTCGAGTAATTGCTGAGAATGGGGTCTGGTAGTTTCGACCGTCGTTTCTATGCAGCGGACTTGAAAGGGTTAGTAGTCATTGGAATGAGGAACATTTACACCACAAGAAACAATGAAACTTTACGCCTGTACTGCGCATTTGTGATGCGTAACGAATTTCAAATCCGAAAAATTGTTCCGCATCCAGTTCCCGATCAGTCTACACACGCATAAACTTGATGTGAGTGAACTTCACCATGACAACCGTTGAACTTGATCAAGGTCGTCAGTTTCAACTTAATGTTCAAGTCAGTTATCGATTAGTTTATCGAATTTACGGATTTCAATTCCATGATTCTAATTCCTTTCATTTAAACAGAATTTACTCCACTGGTTCAGATACAAATTGCATTCCATACCGACAAGATTTTACTCTTCGCATCCATCTACGCAAACACGTTTCCGTGCTATCTAAGTGATCTTAAAGGCAGTTAAACGTTTCACGGTTTCACAGTTGGCATGCATTTTGACACAAAACAGGCAGGTTATTAAATTATATGACGAAGAGTGAAGATTTTGTCGATACAACCTCGACCTGATCTGAAACCAACCTGGTTTTCACGCGTACACAGTTCACGTGCGGCAGACAGTCTATGGAGTATGATACCAGCGATAAGTTTAGAGGCAATATTGATTAAACTAATTCCTCTGTGGTTTACACAATAGGATCTGCCGCCTTTCTTGTAAATCGGCATGATCACCGATTCACACTATTCAGTTGGAAAGTCTTCCTTCTCCCAAACTGAGCCCGGGAGTTTTGTTAACTCCAAAATCAAGGCTAGACCTACATTCTTAAAAACCGATGGGGATAGCCAGTGGCGGCTAGAAGCCTTATGCCGTTTGAGGTGACTTATTTCCCGGGCAACCTCCGTTTCAGACGGTGGACTGGTTTCAATTGACAGTATTTATGCAGTTGAAGCGGGTAGAGGAAGATCTTCTGTCGACAGGGACCAGCTGAACTGCGCCTTAAAATGTTCTGCTCACCGTTCAAGACGGCATTCCTGAATTTGAATCAGTGTGCCGTCAGACTCTTTAATTACTTAACTTACGCCTACGTTCCCTAGTCCTGTACTCCTAATTAAACAAAAGAGATTGCGACCAATAGCCGAAGCCCTCTCCATTTCTCTACACTTCCCTATCCATCACTTGTCGCGGTCATTCCTCAGACTCTTGATGAGCTGGTGTTTAAGGGATTAATGCGCTTAGTCGTAGTTTGAATCCGATGGAATGGCTTTGCGAGCGTCAATCACGGCAACCGAAGTTGAAGAGATCCATCGTTTTTGCTTTGATCGTGAGCCAGAGTTCGCCGTTGTTTTGATTGGAATTTGGATCGCTTCCTTGATTGCCGACCAGTGTTCATCGAGTCCTCCGGCTGATGGATGATATATACATACATACATACATGCATACATATATATATATATATATATATCAACTGGTGCCCATTGTAGACAAACACAATATTTATATCGTATTCGGGAATGGATTTGAAATAAACAATTGTAAATGGGGGAAGCGTCACCAAGGCAAAGCCAAAGTGATGAACAAGTTCCTTTTGTTGACACAGAATTGGTTCGCATCGGTTGATTGCAATCGTCTCGGCGAGTTTGAGCATTCTGATGTTATCATTAGTAAAAATTACTCGAAAAGCTTCCGCTCAATCAACGAGGTGTTGCATCATCAACAAGTGTTCGGTAATCGATTAGCTTGGTGCTTTGTAAGCATGGTCCCTACCGGTTACCGGATCCGGTTTTGGATTCATCAAGAAAATTCACCTGCTTTGGTCTGGGCAACCTGGAAGTATACAGCCCACAAGCAAATCATGGAACGTTTTTCTTTTTTATGAAGATTATGGTGCCGTAATAAGTTTGGCACTTGGTCTGGGGTCAGACGTGTGTGAAAATAAAAATAAATAATAAAATATCTGCTTGAATTTCAAATATCATTCAGGATATTCAACATTTCTACATATCGTTCTATTACAAAACGTGAGTCAATCCTTATCAACATTTTGGGAAATCTGTTAGCATACTGTGGACAGTTCCGATCCCGTTGTTGAAGTGTTTTTGTCGAGATTTGCAATAGCCCCGCCAAATTTGTACCACCTGCATCCGCATCCGGAGTGAGGGACAGACAGCCAGAGTCTTCGGTCATTGTCCGATTGGACTGGCCAACCCGCGAGGAATGTGTCTGACTGTCAACCCGTAAACGCCCGACACGCGTCTGACTGGACTCGCGAGTGATAGTCGGATTGTTGGGTGAGACCGTTATTCGTGTGATTGGCGCAGGATTCGGACTGATTTGAGGTTTTTCTATAGGTCAAAAAAGAACACAACACGTGATGAATACTCAAGTTGCCAAGCTCGGCGAACAGGCAAAATAGAACTCAAGTTTTCAATTCAGATCAATTGATGATATGAACGAGATCTACGTAAACAGAGAATTGAGGATAGATGACTTCAATGACAGTGCAACGCGGAAATACCGCATACTCTGAAAATCTATCAAAAACGCCTTCTAAACAATCAAGTCATTCATATATGTAACACATGAACGCGTACCATAAAACCGACTAGGTGACAGTTCAGTTTAGTTTAGTTCTTACAACTAATAACTGTGCACTTTCGTGCGCCGGTTTTGGTTGCTGTCTTTAGGTTGCCCATTTGGATAAAAGAGCAGAATGAAGATTGGAATATTAAGGGCCAATTCAAGGAGAAGATAGCGAATTCATATAGACGGAAGTTACAAGAATAATGAGTAGATGCATGAGTGCCACCGTTGACGACACCCAACCATATCGCTCAGTGTCTCTAACCATCGGCGGCCATGTTATCTGGGTCCCCAGTCAGGAAGCCTAACGGAACCTGTGTGACCTAATCTCCTGGTTAGGGTTTTCATGCCCTCATGACAGATTCTCGTTTGACCACTCTTGATCTTTTTCCAACCGCTACCTGCTTCAGCAAACATCGCTCGCCGTGGCAACCTATCTGGTGACATGCGTAACACACGCTCTCCAACCAGCGTAATTTATGAAGGTCGACTATTTGCTCCAGTGGACAACCGCGATTACCTAAAACTCTACGCTTAACCGCAGCATTGTTCGTCCGGTTTCTCCACCAGATTCGTGCAATGCTGCGTAGACAGCGGTGTTCGAACGACGAAAATCTATTTTTATCCTGTTCCCGTAATGGCCAAGTCTCTGCACCGTAACGCAGCAATGGCCGAACTGCGGCGCCATATACTCGACCCTTTACACACGACCGGATGTCGCGACGGCGCCACAAATGTCTCAATTTGTCAAATGCCAGTTGAGCCTTCTGTACGCGCGCCGACACTCTATCTAGGCGAGATGTAACTCATATCCAAATTGAACAATTGTGCGCAGTCGCCTTGGCTAACAGTTATTGATTAAGATTGAACATATTTCTTATTTCTCATTTCTCGCCAATCTTCAAGGCCTTTGGGCGACCGTTAGTTCAGTTCAGCTCAGCTCAGTTAGAACAACCATAAACCATGCACTTTCGTGAAGCGGTTTTGTTTGCTACCTTTTGGCTCTAGGCTTATAATGAAAATTGTAAAGTTGAAAGCGAAAGTGTCGAAGAGAAAATAAAGGAGAATTTCTGTAATCCAAAGTTGCAGCGAAATGGAAAAGATGCACGAGTGTCACTGTTCGGCACATTCAGCCATATCACTTAGTGTCTCTAACTACTGGCTAGAAAGGTCGCATGTTTATCCTTGGTTCTCCGACCATAGTGGACCGAATCATTCGCTCACTTACGTGCTCGCGTTGTGAGACAGCAGACTGTCTTCCGCATGGTTGGCAACGCTTTCTAACCGGATGCTTTCACGGCTAGTTGCGAGCAGGCAATAAATCCGGAAGAGATAAGATCAGTTCGTTCTCTGTGAAGTTGTCTTATAATAATCGTCCTTCATTCTGGTCCTCTGCATAAATCGTGTGAATATTTTGCCATTCCTGGTTCTCCTTTCAAATCAATCGAGAAAACTGAGGTGTTTGATATCATTTTTGAAAACCAACACCACGGTCACCACTGCTTCCCTTCCTTCATCTTTATGCCTTTTTGCTCAAGCTTTTGTGTGCTCAAAGATCAAGGACCAGAGGGGTTTACACAAACCCACCTTGCGCTTGACACATCTAAGACACCTGGCCCCAATTACATTCCATCTATTCCGCTGGGGAACGAAACACAAATACTCGATCCCATTATTGGGTCATTTGTTTTTTTTCGTTCCTTTTATTCGGTGCTTATCTGCGGTTGTATAGTCTCGCAGATTTTTCGCAATATCCGAGAGCAAACATCACTGCGACCGAGTTTGTCTGTACCGAGACATTCCGAAACCGTTTTGAAACCGTTCGTGCAAAACAACTGCTAACACACTAATAAGTGAGCGCCAGTTCACTGTTGCTGGTTCACTGGTGTACACTCTTATATGAGTTTTCCATCTTCCGCTTGAACTCGCTCTCAACATTCCAATCTTAACCCTGCTCTTTGATCCAAATGGGCGGCCAAAAGTCAGCAACCAAAACCGGCACACGAAAGTGAATGGTTAATGGTTGTAAAAACTAAACTAAACTCTCTGTGACATTGCGGTTTTGGTGAAATGGATAAAGCGGACTCTATGTTTTAAGGATAGAAAGACAGGCTTTCTAAGTGCGAACACCAATGTTTACGTCGCATTGCACGATCCCGATGCGGCGCCCGGATAAGGGATACTGAAGTAAGGCGCAGGGTTTTACGTCATCACATGTGGTTGAATCCCATAGATTAAGTTCCTTAGAAAGTATGTTACGCATTTCACCACTACCTGCCTCAGCAGACATCGTGATCATTGTAACCGATGGTTACGGTTTTGTGTCACAAGCACGGGCGCTTGTGTATCTTCTCAATCTCTTTGTCACACTAGTGTTTATGAATTCTGTATTTTCATTCTGACACTGATTGGAACATTTCAATCTTCTGTTCACTTCATTATCCAAATGGGGAAACAAGGACAATAATCAAAACCACAGAAGAATAGTGCATGGTTAATGGTTGTAAAAGTTGAAATTCGGATCTATCTAGCCACGTCTTATTAAAAAATCTCCACAATTGCTTGTCCGTCTACTGTTCCTAGAGTTCATGTTAATTCCTACTTCTGCAGCTTCTGACATTAACATCAAATATGAAGTCGATCATATATTGGGCTCTAGTTTTCATTTTCTTTCTCTCTCTCTCTCCTACACACATTTACTTCATGTCTATCCAGGAAAATTGTTTTTCTCCGACGTGCTAAGAAAGTGAGGAAACTAGGCAAAGTAGGTGCTCTCGCTCTCTCTCTCTCTGTCTCATTCAAAACCCTCTCACCAAATCGAATATTTTACACAAGTTTGAATGTAGCCTTTCTTCATCTGTCTACCTTGTTCCAGAAGAGGGACTGCATTTGGAAACCATTTCTCACGTTGTACCGTGATTTAGACTTCATTATATACGGGAATGCGCAATGCAAGCGGTGCACACTTGTGTTCCGGCTATAATAAAAATCGTAAAAAATCAAAAAACAATTCGTTCCAATCCGATGTCTTAAAATGCTTTAGGTGATCTCTCTCTCTCTCGCTGACACACACACACACACACACACACAAAAAGGTTTTTTTTTGAAATTTCACGTCTCCCTTACAAACCAAACTCAACACAGTCCTGTTCAGTGGGCGCTTACTATCAGCTAGGATCAATGTTCGCAACCAGCCGATCAAGTCCCGATTGATTTCTTTGTTCAACAACTGAACAAGCTTCAGAGGCAATTGGGTTTTGCGATTGGGTAGCGCAATCGAGGCCATGGGAGAATCTACCGGATCCGGGTCCGTTCGAGCGGTTCGTTTCGTTCGCCGGTGCTGAGGTTTACGCACATCTTTTGCCGATGGATGAGAACTGGAATTTTGAAACAAGTGAACGAGAGAGAGAGACTGTGAGTGAGTGAGTCAGATCGGAAATCGCCACTGAAGGTGTAAAACGTGTACCGATCATGGCTACACTAGCACTCCTATTATCTAGAAAAAGCTTGCAAATTACCTGAATCTTCACTTAGTAGCGCAATTTTGAAACTGTGAGCGTCAATGCTAGCCTTTTATGACTTTCTGGCTTTGAAGTGATCACTTCTACACAGTGAAGAAATAAAACAAATCAGTAGGAAACTGTGACCGAATTCCAGTGACTGGCAGACTAAATTTCAAGTCTCTCACCTAGGTAAAAAAATGTATTACTGAAAAACGAAGGAAGCGGTCGGTATACGTCAGACTTATGAATCCAGAAGTATTTTCCCTCAATCATGTTAATACCGCTACCATCATCCAACACTTGTCCTTCTGTAAGTCTCCAAACGACCTCCAACGAATCACAACTCCCAGTCTGAAAACTACTACTGTATAATTGCATTCTTCAAGAAAACGGAGTCGAATATTATGCTAAAACTAAAATAATAATTCTCTTCAATGTTTAGGGTATCAAGCTTGGATTAGCCTATTCGATTGTTCAGAGGCGCCAGACATTCTTGATGGTCTTCGGTGTGAGTTTCACTCCTTGGGAGATCGTAAATTCCCCACTGTCCGTATGCATTTAAATGCGATGGAAATGTTTGTGATAACCAATAACCAATATTTGGAACTCGTCAGCACTGTGTACGTTTTTTGTCCCTGTCAGGACTCTTCACAATCGAATGGGTTAATCCAAGCTTGCTACTCTAAAAAAGGTTAATTAACAGCTCAGACACGTCCCACTTCATTCGCTGAACGCATATTGGAATATTCTGTCAATGATATCATTCATACCTTAAAGTCGTAGTAGTAACACCTGCTAAACCACTGTAAATAGTCCAATTCTCTTTCGTCTTCCGTTCAACTATGCTCTTCGGACAGGGGTACACTTGGGTGAGGCGAGGTTTATTTCGGAAACCTGAATTCATGTCCGCGGTTTCGAACTTTATAAGTACCACGGAAGGGGCTAGTTTTCAAATCGGATAGGGCACAAGAGGCAAAATGGGAGCAATAAAATGCAAGTACTTATCAAATATAGTGTACTATTTATTTGTTTGTAATCAATGCGTCAATCTATTCTGCTGAAGATAACGTTGTTCATACACTTGGAGCAGCAACTGTAACTATTTCACGGTTGACGCCTTGAAGAGAGTAAGCGGGTCTGCTGCAAGTCTTTTTCCCAAACCTGTCAGTAGGCTGAAAGATCCCTACATTTGCCAATCTAGTGTTTTTGTCACCGACGAATGCCATGAAACATCGAAATGCCAAATAGCTCTGCTTTTGACGATACAGTTCAGTTTCAGTTTCCGTTTGAATAACTATTAACCATGCACACTCGTGCACCGGTTTTGGCTGCCCATTTGAATAAAATAGCAGAATGATGAATAATTAGAATGTTGAAGGCAGATTCAACAGGAAGATAACACATTCACATACACTGAATACAGCGATCAGGAATAGTCCATTGGCACATGGGGGGCGGGGGGTGTGTGCAGTGAATCATACGTCAATTCTGTTTAACGGAAACTTATTCAGGGAACTGAAGTAATAGGGAAAACCAGAGATATCGTCCAATAAAAACGAAAGTGTTCTTGTCCAAGAAAAAAAGACTTACACGGTATCCATATCAATTGCAATAACCTCTTCGTATTCCCCGTGAATTGCAAATATTTCTTCCTCCTCTTGTCCGGGGTCCTGAAGATTGCATGTATTCAACCGGGACACCAGGGAGGAATTTTTCGGTGTGAATACCTCACCTTTTTCAGCTCTGTATACGGAGAGATTATTAAAGTATTTGATGGTGCAGTAGCGAAAGACAGTCGGTTATCCTATCCAAATGTTTGTCAGATACTATAGTCAGACAATACGTGGAAGTTAATATATCAGGAAAGCGTAACAAATCCGTCCCATCTATAAATTCATAGAACGTTTTAACTAAATAATGCACGAAAACATCCCAGTAGGGTCAAGGGTAGTTGATTAGTGAAATGCATTGGACCGTCTTGTGATCCTTGGGAAGTGACCGGTTTTTAAAACTTTTGTTTGGAAAGCTCATTTTACTACATTTCGATAGCAGGGAGTACTTTTGCTGAGAAACGATTTTTTGAGGTCACAGCTGTGTTGATGAGCGACTGACAGTTAGTGTAGGGAAGTGCGCCATTTCAACTTGGTTACCATACAATGAAGTAGGTTCAAATAAAGTTGCTCGAATATTTATTCCCTGATGCCACCGCCATTCGACGGATAAACGATATCTTTACTACAAAAGCTCATGCACCTGTGCAGGTTAATAGTGACTTTCTACTCTGGATTTGGTGAGCTAACGGTGAAACAGTCCGAAAAGCTGAGGATGGTCAGGCGTTACGTTCATTAAGTTATCACGTCGGAGGATATGCGTTCGAATCCCACCACGCCGCCTAGCTTCTCCACATATTGTACGGTGGCCCTCTGATTGGCCCCTACCCCTTGCTTGAAAGGTGTTTGCAACATGATATATATAGCAGTTTACTTAACCAAAATCCGTCCAATTTGGTACAGCGGATTTAAGTCCCGTCTTTTGGAGGCGAGGATAAATGTACCGGATGCAGTGTTAGTGGTAGACATTTCCGCCGTCACCCGGCTCACTACCATGCTTGATCTATTGAAACCTTGTGTGTTCCACCACTCCGAGTCTCAGGGGTATGGTTGCCGGTTTCCTTCTCACAACACAAACATGACAATAAAAAATCACGCACGCTCCCGCTCGCTTGCACTTCTTACTCGCAAAGCAAACTCATCACCCAAAGTTGATTTTGCGTCTTTATCTACCAACCCTTCGCCGGCTCCAGAACACCAAATATTGACATTTCCAAACGTAAACTTCACCTGGTTGCCTTATTGACTACTTTTGTCCCATATCAGTCCATCAATGATGGCAACTTCGTCATCTTTGCTGTTTTTCTTCGAACATTGAACACTTGTTTGCAACCGACCCCAAATGCCATGTCATCATTATGGGAGATTTAAACGTTTCCTAATCAGGATTTGCAGCAGCATTCTTCTGCTACTTTGTATGCGGGGCGCGAAGCTGTACAGTAAGCTTTGGTCAGCAATCTAAGTTAACTAGTTGATCTCTTCACAAGTGACCCTAATCAAGAGGACAATCGTACCCCTACTCTGGATCCCACATTGATCCTTTCTTTTGTTCTCAGTTATCGGTACTCTCTCTCTCTCGGTACCAAAATTACTAGCCCTGATTTGCCACCTATCTCGGAACACATTTTGATACAACAACGCGACCAGGTGATTACGGTCTTCGTGATTCCCTATCTTCTTATTCTTGAAATGATTGTGGTTCTACTTCGAAAGTTTCCAAATTTGGTTCCGACTTCACCGATATTATTCTCAAAGTATGAAGTTCTATGTTCCATACTTGACAAACCCGAATGATTGACCCACGCCGTATATCTAAAACGCTCGGTCTTCCCCTAGTGGCGCCACTTGCTCGCTCACGATTCCCGCCACGGCTTCGCGTAAACTAGCATCCGGGGCTCGGCACCTATGTGAAGAAGCAATACTTCATCTGTTTTAAAGCCAAAATCTTGGCCTGGTCCACTCGCGGTAGTCGAACATATTGGTCCTTTGCCAAAGCAATTTCTCGTAATGTTGGACCATCCAATTTCACCCAATCTGTTATTACTCTGGTGATGTCATATATCAACCAAAACTGGGGTTTTAGCTTCCAGTTTCACCGACAATTCCACCTTACCTAATAATCTTAATCTTTCACCTTCTTTCCATGCAACTGAAAATCCCTATTTTGACCTCATATTAGCATTACGGATGTACGCCAAACATTGCACCCTCTTGTCGCCAGAAAACCACCCGATTCAGGCGATATTCCACCAATCGTTTTCAAAATATATGCGCCCCAGTTGGCTCCTGTTTTATGCCGTCTTTTCAGTTTTTACCTCCAAATTCCTATTTTTCCATCCCCGTGGATTGCGAGTCTGTCACCGGAATCTCTGTTTCATGAACTGGTTACCAACACCGTCCTGTAAACGCATACTATTTTTTCATTTGGAATAAAATAGAGGAATCTATTAAAGTAGTGCTTTTCAACGTGGTTTCCACATTTGCATAGATGTGTAACACAGTGAGGGGGGATTATGGGGTAACATTTACAGGACACCAAATACCACTCACTCGCCATTATCTGTTGCTCGGGGTGTTTTTGACTCTGTTGGAGACACACATTTCGAGGACAACGTGTTCGCATCACCTTTTGCGGACAAAAATGGAACAACAAAGTAAACGCTTATTCTTACGCTCAATTTTTTCCCGCACAATAGACGCAAATCGACAATAGTAGCAAACAAAAGATAATTGAGAAAAGTGGGCAGGTAAGGTTCAAAAAACGAGGTCAGACATTACTTTTGCATTGATAAAAGGACCGGAGTTTCAATGGGTGTTTCAAACCCACACACACATGAGCATCACCTAGGCTTGCTTACAGCGCACGCCCTACCAGCTGAGCTACAAGGCCAGGCCAACAGCTTTGACAGAGCGTACGCACTACAAAAGCAAGGGCTACATTCTCATGCGGGATTAAATTCCCTCGAGTTCAATGATCTTTCCACAATTCAAACTTGAGGTTATTATCTTCCACTATTCACCTAACAAAATCATTTGAACAATTACAAAAATTATTTCATAAATGTTGAACCATCCAACGATCAGCCTCCGAAAGCCTCAGTATGGGTGGAGTGGTTGTCCTCGGTTGTGGCCGGTCACCCTCCCCATGCGCCTTACGAAATGCTCCTATAAAACCAAGTGTCTCAAACAGCCTTTGTTAAGGAACTCCAACTCCCTGCCTTCTCGTGGGGCGGAGGTGTTTTTCCACCAAACCGGGTTGGTGACCCGCTGGCAGTTCACCTAAGAAAGTCGGCTAAAATCCTTGATTTCAAACCAACCAAGACGAGGCGTACGAATCACACCCGGTCACAACATCTTGGTTGTGATAGTGGTCATCGGTTGCGATTGGTTAACGAGATATATCGGGCCCCGGCCCCCAATGGATAGCTGATAGCTGCCTTCTGAGTCAGATTATAGCTAATCAAAGATTCCGGCTGTGAATTCACCAAAAAGATTCACCTTCCTTGGTCCGAGCAACCTGGCAGTATTCTGTTCACAAAGAAATTAGCGAACTTTCTCTCCGTTTATGACGATTATTATACTCTGATGTGTTTGACAGTCTGAATTCAAACGTGTGTGTGTGAAATACACACAGACACATACACATTCAAAGATTAGACAAAAGCCAAGCTGACATAGATTATGCAATCATCGACCATGCGATTCACTACTCATGAAAACAAAACAAAACCGATGGGCGGTCGGGTTCGTTTTACGCACTTCAACAAGATCGCTACTTTCGCGTAGTCTTTTCATAGGTGGAATGGCAGTTACTTGTGCATTGATTTCCAGCTGCGCTACCTTATAATGCGATCCAGTTGAACTAAGTACAAACAATAGGTTAATTTAATTCAGTTCAGCTCAGTTCTTACAACCGTTAACCATGTGCTCTCGTGCACCGGTTTAAGTTGCTGTCTTCTGGTTGCCCAGTTGGATAAAACAGCAGACACCCAGTCATTTCGCTCAGTGTCCCTAACCACCGGTTACCACCATCTCGAGGTCCCCAGCCAGGGAGCCTGACGGGATCTATGTGGCTTATTCTCCTGGTAAGGGTTTTCATACCCTCATGACAGATTCTCGTTTGACCACCCTATCTGCCTCGGCAAACAACAATCGCCATGGCAACCTATCTGAGGAAATGCGCAGCACATGGCACAACCAGCGTAACCTACGAAGCCGCTTCAGATCGAGGAAGAGGGAAATGGTGGGTCTACGAAAAGAGAGCCTGTGTTCAAGGATTTGAAGAAGAGTAAAGATGTGGTCCATACAACTTCGACTAGGTCTAAAACCAGCCTGGTTCTCACGTGTGCACTCTTAACGTGCGGTAGACAATCGACGGATTATGATGCCGGCGAGAAGTTTAGAGGCGATTTTAATAAAACTAATCCCTCCGTGGTTTTCACAACAGGATCTGTCGCCTTTCTTGTAAATCGGTATGACCACCGATTCCCACCATTTAGTTGGAATCTGTTCCCTTCTCCCACACTGAGCCCGGGAGTTTTGTTAACTCCAAAACCAAGGCTTAACTTCCATCCTTAAAAACCGATTGAGACAGCCTGTCGGGGTCGGAACCCGTATACCTTTTAAGATAGCTTATTTCTCGGGTGACTGAATTAGAACACTGATAATCGACCCGTCAGGCGAATCACATTCATACGGAGTCTGTCGTGTTTCGCTCGAGCAGATAAAGGAGAACGGACACTTCATACGGAAGTCGTGCATCACAGAGTTGAACTGTGATCGATCAATTACACCACAAAAACCAATCATGCGCATTTTCCGGCTGATTCTTTGGCTTTACTGTTCAACTAACCAGCAAAGGTGAGATCGGGAATAAAAACCTCGTTTACGAAATTCATTCTCCAATTGGTTCAGTACATTTCATTTGACTGCATTGTGTGTGCTCGCGCGCGTGAAAATAAAACGCATTCTACACAACTCTTTCCCGAAAAATTTTAGAAGCCGCATTTCTTAATTCGGAGAAGAGAACAAGTTAGTGCTGAAGAAGAAAAAAGCACTGAAGGAGAGGTTCTCGGATTACAGGAAGTGAGAGCAAAACAATTTTCGTGGTTGCAATCGGCTCATTAGAGTGAGACGTGAGTATCCTCATATCGGACCAAGATGTGCACATAGAATGATCACTTGCTCACCTTTGATTCTTTCATGGGGTGAGGTGTAGAACTGGAATCCGGAATCACGTGTAGGAACAATCTGTTCCCCACAAATGCGCAAATGAGGAAACCGTGAAAGCCAATCCAAACATTCACCTTTCAGATGACTCAAATCGAAATTGAACTCGTTTGAGGAACTTTCAAAATTTGTCGGATATTTCACGTTGTGAGAACCTGAAAGCGAAGAAGAGCACAAAGCAGTAATGAATTTATTGAGTTCACCTTAATTACCTTCGGTGTAATAAGTCAAGTATTTGAATTGAATGAATGCATCAAATAGACAGGGTTTGAACTCGCAAGAACTGATGAAGTTAGTAAATATCACTGCAGTCACATTCCAACGGTCTGTTAGGACAATTCACGCGGATAAGATCAATGTCCTCAATAAAGGTTGGCCAACAATTTGGCGGAACTTTTGTGCTCCAGTCGAACAGAAGGAGAGAAATCCTACTTGTCCTGTGTGATTTGCAGGCCTTGTCCACGTGTCCCAATTTGATCTCGAGACAGTTCTCCTTCTCTCTCCCTTCAAGTATGAGCAGTGAATGGGGTGTGGCAGTGCAAGCGTTAAGGGAACGCGAGAATCAGTTCTATTTGATCCACTGATCAACTGAATGTCCCATTATATTCAGTCCTGTTCTGAAGATTCATTCATCATTCTAATTATCATTTTGTGGTGACAAAAACAGTGAAGACGTTAGTGTCCCGAAGTGTAAGTCAATGTAAAGTGTCTACCTCCCGAATGGAATACTGAACTAAATTAATCGACAGAAGGGAATTAAAGTCTTACAATGTGAATATCCAGCAGTATTTGTTTTCCTTTGTTCGCCGAGTTTCAAAATGCGTTATTAAGCGTTTCATCACTAGCCGGGGAGATATTTTGAGCGATTTTAAAAGTATTGAAGCAGTGGACATGCCACCTTGTCTGGTGCTGAAATATTTGCAAACAAATTTTCAAGCTTGATGAACCGGACAAAATTAATTCGGTTCAAGCGAGATACGAGAGCCAGTTTAGATTATAATTTCTCAATGGACACCATGTGAAATTATTAGTTCACCGAAAAAATGTTGTGTTGGAAACTGTTAGGACGGAGCTCAGAAAGCCGGTCAAATCGCGCACGAATCCGCGTCACACCACAAGCACTCTTGCGGCACGCACGGTGTGTCGATTCCGGATTGGAAGACTAGAACGAATCAGATTGTACTCGTCCGATTGACCAATCGGGATGTCAAGGACGCAAGCTGATTGGTGGATCAACAGGTCGTTCCTGTACGTCCAATTTACCCACTAATTTTTGCGCATCGCGTGGTGGACGAAGAATACAGTGACTGTTGTTCTCGAGTGACGTTTTCTTTCCAGTATTATCGTTGGGGCCTAAGGCAACAGGCGTTCGTATCGATTGTACGTTTCACCAAGAGCATAACAGATATAGTCTTAATCCATTGAATTGTTATTCACAGACAACATGATTGGTGTAATCTTGTTCTTTTCGAAAACTTCCATCGCGCAATTGAGCTTGAATCCAGTCAAGAACGAAATTTGGAAACTATTGTTTGGACACATTCTATTTTGGTAAATTTCTTGGGGCTTTTATCACGAAATTTCTTCCATTCAGATAGACAGATGTTCAGGAATAGATCCTTAGGAGCAGAAGGGCACAAGTTGAACGTGGAACTGTCAACGTAACGCAGAGGTACTGGGTATAGAAAACATGAAATATTCGATTACGTCTATCATTGCTAGCGGAAGTCATTGATGATGAGGCTCATCAAAACTTGCTACCGGTCGCAAACTTGGGCATCCAATGAGACTACTTCAACCGGTATAAGCAGACGTTTCTGCACGCACTAACCCAGCTACGATGAAGCGAATACTCTATTCGCATATGCCTTCTACTCAGATCGATCGGTGGAGATACGGTTGAAAACGGAGTATAGCAAATTACACAAGGGAGATGACACTTAATCACACCGGATCCATGAATGGAACGGATCTCACTGAAAAAACTTGGGCTTCATGCTCATGATAATTGATTTGGTTTGTTCGTTCATCGTGGCTAAGACAAGCTATTTTTGTCAATAGATGGCATTTAGTTGGGAATTCCGGTATAAAGTCTACCGTCGAAACATTCATGCAGAACAATATTCCAGGGTGATTTTGTCCAAATAAACGAGAAAAATTTGACTTTTAATCACTATACCTGCCCGGTCACTGACATTAGTCCAACGCCTGAGTGGACATGGAGGGGTGAATACAACGTTGCACTGAGGACCATGATTCGTAAACAGGCAGAAGAGCAGTTTGTATATATATACTAAACGTGGTCTGAATTAATCAAGAACAATGAAATCAAAAAGTAGATCGTTAGATGTTAAAAGCCTATCGTCATCGGAATGCACTAACCTGCATGTCGCGGTTTTCGACCAGACGGATGAATCGATGGTGTAGGAGATTTGGTCCCAGTAGCGTCGAACAGCATGCGGTCAATCTCTTCAAACATTTCTCGAACCCGTTCAGATTGTTGCCGATCGAACTCCTATCGATAAAGCAAAAAAACCATCAGTCATTCCCCTCGCCAAACTGCATGTCCAAAGAACAGAGATAATATTATCGAGGTCATCACGATCAACAATGAATACTTATCAGTCAGCTTTGAATGAAACTTAGATCCGTTCGGCGAGTATCATACCCGAATTATATTCTTGATCTGAAACTAAACTGAAGGCGGGGTCTTTTAATATTATCACTGGAGTTGTGGCTTTTTTACCACATAGTAACCTTGGATTTACTTTAGTATGCAATATTGTGACCTTAATGATTACCTACAACGCGCTCGACTTAGGTTCCATACAAGTTTCTGTGAAAAATATCAACGACTCATCTTTACGTGCTTCGACTGTGAGAGATAAACTGAAAAAGATCAATCACCAGGAATGCCATTTGCAAACGGAAAAATCATTGTGCTGGCTGAAATGTTATATTAGACCACAGAAACATAAGGACCATTGGTTTTCCTATCATTTTATCGTCGAATGTCAGTTAAAGTCTTTCAGAGTTATCAGATAGTGGCCTTCTGATTCACAAAGGGGATTACTTTAAAAGATGAGTGTTACTTTTCAGAGAATCTTGGTTAGAAAAATTGGTGGAGGACGAATCGGTTGAGATTGAAGGCTTTCATTTTTATCGTGGAAAAGAGTAGGAGAAAAGGTAGCGGTGTCCCAGTATATATCTGCCACCAAATGCATATTTACTCTCTGTATATAAAATATTCCTTGCCTGACTGTAGATTGTACGTCGCGTTTTCTCCTGCACCATCCTCTAATCATCATTTCAAATCTTTACACCACTCTCGATTATAATCCTGGTGAGTTGCCTACCATCCTGGATACATGCAATGCAATTATGTTCGAGAAGACTGTCATGTCTGCTTTAATCGTTGCTGGTGATGTCAACAGGTCGGATGTGTGTCTTCACAAACTTAGGTCCATTCATCACATCGTTAGTTGTTTTAGACCAGGAAGGATGCCCCTTTAGACCATATTTCTGTTAAAGAACCACCTTTTTCATGCCTTGAAACTTGTACCGGTAGGCAATTCTGATCACTATGATGAACGTTTTACTCACGGTAAATGCAATCAACGAACCCATACGAAGAACAATGCACGTATATGACAACATCATCAGGCCAACTGGATGGAATTGGAATCCATAGCTGCCGGTATAGACTCACAACTATTTTCGATCTCCATATTGCAGTCTTCTGTGAAAACCTTGCCAATTATTTCAACTTTTGTTATGATGTGTACCGTCCTCAAGTTAGGGTTCGCCTACAGCCCAATCGCTTCATCTCTGATATACTGAGATGGTAACGTAGGCTGAAAGAGGAGGCTTATCGTTCAAGGGAGCAAGATAGCCCATCTCAACCAATTGTGTGTTACCACTGTGCTAGGGGACAAATCTTGCCGCCAGCTACGGAACGGACCGAAGTTGGTTCGTGGTCATCCACCCCGACCCAATACAGTTTTGGCCACCTTCTCACTCTGTTTTATATCTCAAACCCTCGGTCCCTATTTTACTCTATTGCTGTTGGGTTCACACCAAGCTTTCTCGCAAACGAGCGATAAATATATACACACATATACCTACTGCATTCTCATCTGATATCAATGAGCTCAACAGATCTTTTAATACGGTGAACAATGTTGTGCAAGCATTACGGAGACCAAGTACAACGTCACTTGATCCTCCAGCGACTATTTCAGCAGAACAAGTCTTAAAGGAATTGAATGATATCAACGGCAATAAATCCTCCAGTCCTGATTGGTTGTCCATAGTGATCCTTAAAACACCTGCAAAGCATCTCCGACAAATTGATTTAATGCCTGTCTGTCAAAAGGTAAACTAGTTGATACATGGTGTGATGTTCGCAGCGCTCCAATATCTAAGAAAGAAAAGGGTAAGTTGTGATCACTGGCTTTATCTTTAGTACCACTTATCAATTTTCAGCGAACCATCCAACACCAAGTCCCTATCCCCTTCTATTGACTATTTTAGTTTACATTCTACGCGTCGGTAAAATTTACATGCGGTTACTTGTCTAACACATTCTGTTTTATCGACCAAAAACACAAAACTGTCCATGTTTGATTTCTGTGTCGCACAAACGCTCCTAACACACTTAATAGAAAAACAGCCTAATGGCACTGTTACAGTAACATTTTATCCGAATATACCAACATTACCCATTGAAAGAAAGCAAAATTTAGCAAACAGGCTCATTTGCGGTGATTATTCTATAGGCCAATACATCACAATTATTTCGAAATATGTCCTTACTCGCATTTAGAACATAATTTCAGGCGAACAATTGTTTTCAATAACACATAATCATACCATTACAGTTTATATGGGGGAAAAATCCTAGGGGTTGGGAGGAGAACAATAAAATGTGTATGCGTGTCTGTGTTTGTGTGTGTGTCTGTGTTTGTGTTTGTGTGTGT